CCATTCACTGCTGGGTGAACAGCAGATAAGGTGCCATGGTCATCATGGCGAAAATCGATAAACGAAAAGAGAACGTCTAGTCTTGATTATTAGTCGAAACAATCTCAGTGTGGACGCCTGTAAACAAACCAGTGAGTGAGTATGGTTTCCCGCCGCTTTTAGCAATATTCCAGCAATATTCCAGCAATATTCCAGCAATATTAGGGCGGGTAAACCAGAAATGGACTTCACATATTGTACCCATGTCTTTGGCGTGACGAGCGAACGCTTTAATTACTAGGCTACACCACCCATATTGAGCCATATTGGTGTGATGACATGTTTAAAGTGGCATAAGTCCATTAAAATATCAAACGCAGCTCACCCAATGTCATCTTTTCGGGTCACAGTAATTTTCAGAATACAGACCCATGAACAGGTACTTTTATCAAATGTCTGCGTGTTTCAGCCGTCGAGTTGCTTTGGTGCACCGGATCCTCTCGAGATGCTTGTAACTATCAGCGGCTACAGAACAGAAAGTGCTAACTTCGTATACGCCCTTATGGTCAAGGAGTATGGCGATATCAGCAATGGCTGTCTGTCCACTGGTCGAGTCTTCAGGGTCAGCGGAGATCAAAGGTCAGTGCTATTCGTCCACACATTAGTGGGTGTGTATGAGTTTACGCCGCTTTTAGCAATATTCCATGGCGGGGATCACCAGAAATAGCCTTCACATATTGTACCCATGTAAGGAATCGAGCCCGAGTCTTCGGGATCAGGCGCGAATGCTTCAACCACTAGGCTGCCCCACCGCCAACGTCAACACATTAAAAATGGGACCAGGGCGATTAATGTCAAGATGTCTCAGCAGAGGTTATGCATACTGGCCAATAAAACTGTAGGCGCGAGTATTTGCGTTGTGTGTAGAATTGGTACACATTTCGGTTTCGGAGTAACTTATGAAGGTGTATGTACATACACCGTTGGTTGAAATCTATAAATTCCCTCTCTACTGAGGACCGGCTTTAGAAATGGTACCGGTTCATTGATGCTGTTAACATCTCCGGAATTGCATTCGTATGATGTTGTGGACAGCGTACTAAGCCTACAAGCCAGGTGTTGGTGCTGTAATGTTGGATCAAAGGTTTCGTCAGGTTGTCATTGAAGAGATCAACCGGGGACAGGTTTGTGAACCTGGTGTGCCCGTAGCGGTCATACAATTTCCGAGTCCCTTGGGGAACCCTGTTGTACAACATGACCATAATCCCATCAGGAAGGTTAAAGGTTTTTTACTTATGTTTACTGATGCCTACCTATGTCACTTTTGTCTGTTGCTTACCAATGCCAGTATGTTCTGGTGCTTACTGACGTTTGTCATTGTTTAAGAATGTTTAAGATTTTTCCCTATTTATGTTGATGTTTTCCACTCTCTATCGGTACTTGTCACTTTGTGTCCAATGTTTACTAATGCTTGTTACTGATTACCCGTCAGGTGCTAACTGATGCCTTATATTGGCATGTCTGCGTAAAACAACACAAACAAACAGGCATGTCTGCGTTAAACAACACACGAAGAAACAAACATGCCTGAGTTAAACAACACACGAAGAAACAAGCATGTCTGAGTTAAACAACACACGAACAAACAGGCATGTCTGAGTTAAACAACACACGAACAAACAAACATGCCTGAGTTAAACAACACACGAAGAAACAGGCTTGTCTGAGTTAAACAACACACGAAGAAACAGGCTTGTCTGAGTTAAACAACACACGAACAAACAGGCTTGTCTGCGTTAAACAACACACGAAGAAACAGGCATGTCTGAGTTAAACAACACACGAAGAAACAGGCTTGTCTGTGTTAAACAACACACGAAGAAACAGGCTTGTCTGAGTTAAACAACACACGAAGAAACAGGCTGGCTGTCTGAGTTAAACAACATACGAACAAACAAGCATGCCTTGTAATGATCTATTATCAGTCTAATGCTCCAACTGACATGTCATTTTCATTGTAGACCCACCGGATTCCTGGCTACCTACGAGAATCCCCCCAACCAGCCAATCAGGGCCGTGAGTTCTGCCACGCTTAATGGCCAGAGATCCATCATCGGTCACACGCTCGTGGTGGGTACATATTGCGACGATTTGGGGAGCACATTTGTGATGACTTTAATAACATCCTCACTGATAATGTTCTACATTTGATGTTGGTTAGTATTTCCGTTGAGAAAATTTTGACAATACCTACGTATACCTTCATTTAAACACTATGAAAACGCGGTACCTGTCACTGAATACATTAAGACATATATGGTTGTTCTCATTATTGGGACTGAAAAAACCCACAAAAGTCTTCTTTCATTTTCCTTCTCCCTTTAGAGATTATAAACATTTAAAACATTTTCGTAACAATTTGCGTCTAACAATTCCCTATTTTATGTATCTATTCTTGTAAACACTGAACAAGGAAGTGTTTATACATCCTTTGGGTATTTCTGTTAAATTGTGTGCTCGGTGTTCACGAGATAATTATAGGCCAAAATATATTCAAGATTCCCCACTGTCTTGTTCATTATACGTGACTCATATGGCTGTTTTCTGAACCTACAGGTAACCAGGGGACCAAGCAGCAAAGTTCTTGGATGTTGTGTAATTGGAATATCCGACGGATCCAGATTTGCTGGCATGCCAAAACCTCAGCCCGTACAGCAAGCTCCTTTCGGCTTTGGCTCAACTCCTCCAGAACCAATGAAGAGCAACAGTTTCTTTGGAACACGCCATCCCTTTCACACGCAAGCCGCTCGTAGCTTGCCCTTCAGTTCTCATGATGACCCTAAACCCTCGCATTCTTCCTTCGGGTTTGACATTTCCTCTCTTGGAAACATCCATTCCGGACCTCCCTCTCTCCGGAACATACATTCCGGACCTCCCTCGCTTGGAAACATCCATTCCCAACCATTTGGACACAGTAATTTTGGAGGTGGCTTTGGGTCAAGTATTGCTGGACCATCTGGGCTGTCTCCCTCAATTTCCAACCTCAAAAGGCCCCCAACTCCGCCAGCCTTCCCTGGTGGAATCCATGATACGGACACTGGTTCCCCTCTGTTTGGACCCATTGGTGAAGATGCTAACAGTGTTAAAAACACCTTTGGTTTTGATCTCCATGACTTTACTTCACTGTCCGATTCTGAGAAATTTATCCCCCGAGATGGTGAGGAAACAGAAGGCCCTGGGGCTGAAGGAGGAGAACCAAGTCGTGATCGGGGATACGACGACAGAGATCCTAATCACGGGAATGGAGCTAGTGGGAATTATGATGAGGGTCGTGGGAGACAAGGCGATTCTCAAAGTTATGCTCCTGAGCGTAATCATGATCGTTACGCTCAGGAAGAACAAAGTGCTCCCATTCATCCAGGTGATAACCACGATGTGCCCCAGAGAGATGCTGGTTCATATGCCAACAGTGATCGCGGACAAGAATATGCTCATGGACCTGCGTCAACCCAAGCTGCATCTTTAGAAGATCCCACTAGTATAGCTTCTGTTGACTCTCAACCTAAGTCATCTAATACTATTACTAGTAATATCCCTGCTAACATAAATGCACCACACCCAAGCACTGAACAGGCTATCGATCAACCAACTGGAGCCAATTTTGTGAAAGCAACACCAGCTTCTGGACAAGTGAACAATGCCGCCCCAACGTATGAACACCAAGCTAATTCTAATGTCGTTCGCGAACCGACACATCTTCAAAACACACCAGTGCTTCAACAAGCTTCCCTTACTACTGCTGGTCCAGTATACGCTGCAATTGCAAAGGCTGCAGATACAGAGGCTGACATCGTTGCCCCTACGCATGTGCCCCAAACTACAGCTGCATTTGAATCACCATCTGATTCTGATCCCAACAATAGCCCTGTTGCATCAGATCTGGCTCCCCTGCCTAATCCAACCATCCAATCTCCTAAGGCACCTATCGCGACTTCCAATGCTGCTACGTCGTTTACCACTGGAACTGCACCACTAAAGTCAGCTGGTTATCTCAACCCTGTTGGAAACACCCAACTTCAGACTAGCTCCAACGAAGTTTCTCACGCACCTGCCCACCATGATCAGCCCTCTAATGACTATTCACCCGACGGGCATGCTGACAGTGGACATGCGGATGCCGGTCCCGCCCCTGCAGAATCTAATCCACCATACACTGGTCCTCAGTCACTGTCAACCGCACAGCCGAATGCATTTGCAAGCAAACCAGACTTTCATAGCGACCACTTTGACCATCCCTCATCGTTTGGGTCTCACGAAAGTAATGCCTACGACGCGAGTCATCATGGCATCTCTGACGCCGATGTAGCCAGTGAAGCATACGCTCCAGTGGAACCCTCCTATGGCGCCTCATCTCATGCAGGTGTTCCTAATGACATTTACGACGTTCCAACATCACAGCCTTACACCCGCTAGAACACACACCCAACCCAGAAATCTCACGGGGATTAACGGTCAAACCTCTCTACGGTGATGGGTCTAGATTCAAGGGATATTCAGTCTTTTAATCATTGAATATACCCCCATATGGAATAACAAATAAAGAACAAAACAGAATATTTACTTATGTTTATTCTTTCGATGAATGTTGATTGTAAGTATACGAAGATTTGTTTAGTAAATGTTACATGTTAAGTCGTGTTAATTAATGATACGAATAATCATGTGAAATACAGTTATTTAAGAAGTGTACAATATAAAATACTTGGTTCAAATGTTGAACCCGACCAGCAGGTTATGGTTGTATAGCGACGTAATATGCTGCATAACTATAATTTTATTGTAACATTTGCAAACATAAATGTTTACTGTTACGTGTGAAGAAGCACAAACTATATACGTGACATATGTTTTGTTTGTGATATGTCATGAAAATACATATTCTGTTGGTGGATGGTTTAAAAAACTACCCTGCAACAAAAAGTATAAAGGTGGAAATTGAATATGACCAAAAATTACAAAAGTTACAAAAGGTTACTAGTCAGAAAACAGAAAACAGACATCTTTGGCGTCATTCTCTGTGACCATTCCTTGTTTCTTATATTTTTGCCACAGTCGAACATTGGTGTGTACTTGATTGTGCCGGGGATTTTACATAACAAAAGATGACGTAACAGATTAATTCGAGTAATGTATAAGATTTGGGCTTTCACTAACTTCCTTTCGGTATATTGTAGAATATATATCGCCCTGTACCACGTGATACACAGTGATACAACAAAACAGGAAACAGTCCACTGGCGCCAAAGAAACAAGTAGTCTAACGATATGTCTATCTGCATACGCGAAGAGTGAGTGAGTTTAGTTTTACACTGCACTCAGCAATATTCCAGCTATATGGTGGTCTGTAAATAATCGAGTCTGGACCAGACAATCCAGTCATCAACAGCATGAGCATCGATCTGTGCAATTGGGAACCGATGACATGTGTCAACCACGTCAGCGAGCCTGACCACCCGATCCCGTTAGTCGCCTCTTACGACAAGCATGGGTTACTGAAGATCAATATTCTAACCCGGACCTTCACGGGTTGCATAAGCGAAGACCATAAGGGAGGGATCCAGCCCTCGTGCGAAAGATAACAATTCTTTTGTAAACGTTACTCTACTAAGGATGTCAGCTGAGGTTTCGCACATAAACTGACTTCCAAACAATGTACACACAAATATTTGCTATGTTTTTGTTTGGGTGGCTGAGTGGAGAGGTGGTAATCCCACAACAGCGTGTGTACATTTTCTTATGTTCATCAGTTTTGTTAAAAACAAATCTCTCAAGTTAAAAACAAACTTCTATGTCAATCAGGTGGTTATCGTCATTTTAAACATTTAACTAACCAAATGGTCTATAACTCTAATTTAAGGCACAGTTGATAAATAGCCTCGTATTTGACCCGAAATCTATGATTATCGACGCAACGCTGAATATGTACTGCAGACTGAATTACACGAGAGTTCGAGATGCGCAGCGTTTACAATCAGCAGACATCCTTAATTCGATTTAGCTGTTGACAGTTGTTCAGTTGAAACTGTAACGAAAACTAGTCTGAAGTTTGGTCCTTGACATCATCATCCTTCTCAGCAACATCATTGTAAGGGTTCTCTTCGTCGGCTTTTGGAGTCGTGTTCTCGTAGATGTTGTCAACCAGTGATTTATCTTCAGTGTTGCCGTTCAAGTGGTCGTAGGCAACGTCACGCTTGACTTCATCAGTGTCACGCGACGCCGACTCGGTTGTATCATACGCCGAGTTGTCCGTGCCTATCTTGACCATACCGACCAAGCATTTGTCATAACCGTCGACCTTGTCCTGGTCAACTAGTACGTGACGAAGGTGATCATAGACGCCTACAGCAGAGGTGGTGGGTGTCTCGTCGGCAAACTTGATGCGGTCGTATATGGGTTCGTCGGTTGATTTTGGTGGAGGGCGAACCTGGAGTGTTTCGGTTTTCTCGGAGATTGTATCAGGTTGTTGGATCGTTAGATTGATTGTCTCACTGCAACCGCTCTGGGCACGGAGTCTCCGTTCCACAGCTTCCTTGGAAATTGATTCATTCAGGGGAATTGTCTGAAGGTACTTCGTCACATTTGCCCTGGAACATATCGGTTTGATCTCAATGGTCTCTGACATATACTACTCAACAAAGGTTAAGAGATTTTCATATTACTTCAGTAGAAATGTCCTGGCATGGAAAATTAACTTTGTCAAGGCCGATAAATAATTATATGAAAGAATAATTATTTGAAAGAATCGGATGTTCCTTAACTTTTCGTGAGTAATCCATGTATGTAATATACGTCACGGCTCTGGAAACACTATAAGTCCAACCAATTGACGGCATACTACAAATAGCATATGCATCTTGCTTTTTTCAAGAATGCAGTTTTATCCAAATGGCCTTGAAGATTTATAAAGATCGATTATACTGCCACATTCAGTCTGAACATAACCGAATCGCTGATACAAACTAAACAAATCTACATGTATTTGGATGGTTCAAGTAAGCTATACAAGTCTTTGTACAAACAGTATAACACCCAGTGTGTCAATGCATGGTGTATTGTATGCTCTCTACGAACTTAAATCACCTATCACTTTACAAACTTCAAACATATAGAGTATGATTTGATGGTATCTAAAGCCCAAGCCGACTTATATAGACTGTTTGCAGTGAAAACGTACCGATGAATTTCACTTCAAACAAAAATGTAAATCAAATAAAGAGAAATTAAGATTGCGAATCCTCATAATTTTACCTTGCCATTTCAAAATTTAAATCTCAGATTTTAATTCAACTTAGGATAAAAGTTGTTTAACAAACGATCATAGTTTCAAATCGGTATTATTGGTTTGTATTACAAGGGGGTATGCACATTAAATGAAACACCGAGAACAAGGAGGGTTGGTCTAAGTTAACGCTCATCACGTTCCGCACGTGCATTTGTTTCACTGTTCCAACTACTGCGCTTACCCCCTTGTAAAACAAACCAATATAAGCGATTTGAAACAGTGATCGTTTGTTAAACAACCTTTTTCCTAAGTTGAATAAAAATCTAAGATTTAATTTTTAAATTGGCAAGGTAGAATTATGAGGATTCGCAATCTTAATTTCACTGTATTCGATTTACATTTTTGTTTAAAGTGAAATTCATCGGTACGTTTTCACTGCAAACAGACTACAGAGACCACGTCTCCAGCACTAACTAAATCCAATTCTATAGTTAAGGTCCTGAAAGACAAAAGTGGATGATGACATCTGAAAATCATGTTCAACACTTACCGCCTCTTCCAAATGATGACGCCAGCCAACACTGCTGCTAGAACCAGCAACACAACCACGCCCCCTATCACTGCTGTCATAGACGTGTTATCTGAAACAATAGATCTGTGAGTGAATTGTTTTCTGCCGCATACAGCAATATTGTAGCTGTATCAGGTTGACACATAAACCATATTATCTGCAGAGACGTAGTTGATTCCATGAGTAAGTGAGTGAGTTAAAATTTAACGTCACATCGGCAATATTGCAGCCATATCGTGACGAGAACAGTTGATATCAATAATCAAATCAATAATGTATAACGTAAAAATGATTACATGACTATCCAATCGTTGATGTGTTTTGTAACCAGCGTCTCTGTGTACATAATAATAATAATAATAATAATGGATATTTTTAGCGCGCCATTTTCCACCCACTGATACATGCGCATGGCGCTACATAAAAGCATACATACAATGCATACAGAGGATAAAATATCAAAATAAGTATACATTGAAATTGATGACAGAAAGATTGATTTTAGGGATAGGCTTTGGAAAAAAAGAAAGTCTTCAACTTAATTTTGAAAGTTTCCAATGTGGGAGACTGCTTTATGTGGAGAGGGAGAGAATTCCACAGAGTAGGACCAGCGTACTGGAAAGACCTCTTGCCAAAAGAAGAAAGGAGAACTTTGGGAACGGAGAGAAGACATTGGTCTTGAGATCTGAGAGTTCTGGTAGGGGAGTACACAGTGAGAAGTTCAGAGAGATATGAAGGAGCTTGATTATGCAAACATTTATACACAATGCAAAGAAGTTTGAAGTCAATGGTGTATATGGTGTACTTAAAGAAATTAAGGTATAAAGGGCCTCCTAAATGTTTTCTTATTTACCTGCAGTGTTGATAACCTTTCTGTCACCAGCGGGCCAGTCGTCTCCCCACCAAGCTTTGGAAAAAACACATTTATTTAACTAAAGAAGAAAAAGAAAATGTAATGACCAATCATTTACATTTGTTTATTTATATCCTTTACGTTCATGATAGGAGTGATAGTATCAAACAGCTGAATCATGCATTGATTCGTATTATTGTTACTATTAAACTATGAATGTCTAACCAGTATGTATTATTTAAAGACGCAAAATTATGTAATTTCTGTACCATTTTCGAGGGATCCACAACGGAGTTCAAGTTCGGTGTTCTCTGAAACAAATTGAAAATTTCATGTGCATTTTTCTAGGCCAAACGTGCTTGTTCAAATATAGGTACAAGGAAATATACCACACTAGTGAGGTAATTGTTGTTACGATCTTAAACATAGCACTATAATGAGTATATAATAAGTTCTTATGAATCAAAGTACGTGCACGTGAATCCAGCTATTTGATATTCGGTTGGGGGAGTTTGGTGTTTTGGAAAAAATATTCCAGAAAAGACTGAAGAAGACATTGGCATTAAGTTTAACACCGATAAAATGTAAGGCGCACACATTTACACACGCACAGATAAAAAAGTAAAGGTCGATCTTTTAATCTTTTTGGATTATCGATGATTGATACGGTACGTTCACACAAATTCAGTCTGATAAGGTCAAAAGGTATCTTTGGCGAGTAGCTTCAAATGTGTTACCTACCAGCTTCCACATGTATCCACACATATCCTGGAAGATTTTCTGGAACTAGGTTCAGAAGTATGTCAATTGGGGTCAAGGACATTCCTATATTTGTCACCGAAGAGAGGAATGTACGTCTACCATACGGACCGCAGGTGATATTGGTAACGTGGCCTTCATTCTGCCGTATGAGAACACTTGAGCACTTCTCTCCCATCTTATCGAAGCGGACATCGAGAGCGTTGATGGAAACGTTGACTGGGGTGGATGACGTTGCTGGTTCCACTCTACAAGAGTACTGTTGGACTTTGTCAGAGTTCCGTAGGTAAAGCTCGGGGTCAAAGGCAAGAAACACGGACTTTCCTCGCGTGGAGCCAACGGTGTCAAAATCAACCATTTCTGTTTCTGTGGGACAAAAAAAAAGAAAGAAAAGGAAGCATCACGATCTGATTGATATTGTCAAAACATATTTCTGTACTATATTAGAAAACATAAAGACAATGTACTGGATTAATAACAATACAGTTTAAACTCTAAAATAGTGATAGCTACTCATACATGCAAAATGTACAATGGCATATGGCCTTGGAAAACGGGAGGAGGCATTTGGAGTGTGAATAATATGCCTTAATTCGCTTAGCCGCGACAGAATCCGGTGTCTGCTGGCTTCATATCCTTCAGTTGATCACGGGGTTTCCCTCCCTATTAACCAGGTGACTGAGATAGATAACAAGCTAAACATGGACAACTGAATATAACACCTAAGGCCATAAAAGGTTGGCAATAAGCGCCCCTTCAAATTATTACACAAAGCCTTCATTCTACAGTGCCTGGCCACTTTTTTAAAAAGATTTTCTCAAAATCCAAGTATTGGTGGAAGGTAATTACATTTCTTGCAAATTGGTTGAATGGTGGATGTCACCCTTAGCTCTAGATTATGCTTACCCAGTTCCCGAACAATTGATGTCATCAACGATATTCAGTGACCTATTTATTTTATTTTCATATCTATTTTGCTCCTTACGCGAAATGGAATACGTTTCTGGGGATAGTTAGGACAGGGCATTGTTTTGTACTGACGCTAAATATCTGTTGTTACATTACACACATTTCATTATTAAGTACCTAAGACAGGTTTGTCTTGAGGTCTTCCAGCCATTGGGTGTCGATCGATGACGTCCTTGCAACGTACTGGTAGCATTCGACTGTCTCTGGGCTCTTGTGGACAGAGCATCCACCCAAAGAGCAGAAAGTCTGTGGTTCGATCCCCAGTCGTTTTATACAATAAGGCTTTAGGTGGTACTTCATGTTACCCTGGCTTGCTTTTGGTATTCAAGGAATAAAACAAGTGGATATTCTTGTTAAAACAGCTGTATAATAATATATTGCTGGCAGGCACAATGAAATCTCCAGTATATACCATACCAGTTCAAGCAGCAACACTCTAGTGCGCACACACACACAAACTCGCACCCGCGCGCACGCAGGCACGCACACAGAGAGACACAGACGCGTGACATATCACCTCACCAGTTGTTGATATACCTGATATGCAGCTGAACCTGATGGACGAGAAGGACGACAGTGTACGTGTTGATAACATGCAAGATTCCTGGACACGATCTGTGTAGTAGGAACAGTTGAATTTTCCAGAACAGCGCTCATACAGAGACCTCATGTAGATGTTCTTGAAGGGGAAGGTGCAGTCATGCACTTCGTCTTTTTTGCAGCAGAACTTGGTATTGAACGAGCAGGTGTTCACGGCAAGGCTGGGGCAAAGGGACTCCTTCATCTTGAAGCCATGGACAGCTGATATGATGGCGAGACGGTCAGTATTTCCACAGGTCAGTTCATGACGAGAACAGGGCCCCTGCCCGTAGCAGGCGTTGGAGACGCCAAAATGGAAGCCTGATTTACAATAAAACGTGAGTTAGTGAATGTCGTTTTACAATATTCAGTGAATGAGTATTTTTGTACGGAATCGAACCCATGGTTTTACGTCCCACTCGGTCATATTTCAGCGAATCTGGACTAGACAATCCAGTGATCAACATCATGAACAACGATCTACGCAATTGGGATACGATGACATGTGTCAACCAAGTTAGCGAGCCTGACCACCCGATCCCGTTAGTCGCCTTTACGACAAACATGGGTTACTGAAGATCAATTCGTGCCAGGTCCTTCGAAGATGAACAATAGCACACATTGGAAATACAACAAAAACATCATTATAGTTCGGTAATCTGGACAAGAAATGGGCATTCTTACTGATAATGAAAGCACCAAGCCACCAGTTGGCACTAAGGGACTATGGCATTACGCCGCGTTCAGCAATATGCCAACACTATCACGGGCGGGGACACCAGAAATGGGTTTCATCTATTGTAACCAAGTGGTGAATTGAACCCGGGTGTTAGACGTGACGACCGAACGCTTTAACCACCAACTCCATGAGTTGGTGAATGTTGTTCTACGTTTCAGTCATCGTACAACTTTAAAGCTCCTGTGGTGTCGAATCTGGTTCAGACAAACCAATCGATGGCAGAGTTGAGTTGTGGTTGAGTTGGGTTTTGCGTCACATCGGCATTTTTCCCGCCATATAGTGACGAGAACAAGTTTGCATTAATAAACATTGTAAGTAAATACTCGGAATGAGTTTTATTTCAAAAACATATATTCATTACATTGTCATTTAAAAACAGAAAAAGTCATAGCACCAAATTTAAAGGCAGGCAATTTGTTAGTCACATTTCACAGTTACAATTTATGATAGTCACATTTCACATTTACAATTTATGATACAGGTCAACTTCCCTCAGGCAGTTCACTATCAGATGAGCGCTCACGCGGGAGAACAGATCTTTCAGGCTTGTTGCATCATAATGTGAGTCCCTTACAGACTGAGAATACTATTATTAACTGTTACGAACATAATTATGCTTCTGTAGACTTCCTTCACTAACTACCTCCATCAAGTCTTCTACTGTTACTTGTATTCTTGTGGCTACTACTATCTTTTCTACTACTAATACTAATACTCCTTCTACAACTACTGCTTCTACTACAACGACTACTCTTTCTGCTACTGCTGCTGCCACTACTACTATTGCTAATGCTACTACTACTTCCTTCTACTGCTACTACCGTTTCTACTACTACTTCTACCTCCACTACTAGTACTCCTTCTTCTACTACTACAGCAACTACTACTACTACTACTACTACTACAACTTCTACCAATACTACTAGTTCTACTACTACTACTACTGACCCGTGAAGGTCAGGGTAAGAATATTGATCTTCAGTAACCCATGCTTGTCGTAAGAGGCGACTAACTGGATCGGGTGGTCAGGCTCGCTGACACATGTCATCGATGCTCATGCTGTTGATCACTGGATTGTCTGATTCAGACTCGATTATTTACAGACCGCCGCCATATAGCTGGAATACTGCTGAGTGCAGCGTAAAAGTAAACTCACTCACTCTACTACTACTACGAGTAATCTCTCTACTATTACTACTTATAATAGCTGCTACTACTTATTTTGCTAATACTACTACCACTAACACCGCTGATACCACTACTATTTCTTCTACCATTCTATTAATAGTTACATCACTACAACAAAAACTACTACTACTACTACTACTACTACTACTACTGATGCTGCTACTACTTCTGTTAATACTTCTACTACTGCCACTACTACTTCTTCTACTGCTGTTGCTACTTCTACTGCTAATACAACTACTACCTTTGCGTCTACTACTACTACTACTACTACTACGTCTAATACATCTACTACTGCTGCTGCTTCTGCTACTACTACTACTACTACAACAACAACTACATTAACGTTCTCAATGTTTTTTTCTTCCTCCATTATTGTCACCACTTACACATTACATTGTTAAAATGACACTAGCTAATACTTATTCCTAATACCGCTGTGTTGAACACCAAACCTGCATATACGTTTTGTTTATATATTTAGAAGGGGTTGAGAGCCAGGCCTCCTGAAATGCATTCATTGAACATCAGCGTCTGGTGACTTCCTGCGGTTATATGAGAACGACTTGTTTCCTGGCCGGATGCCCGAGGGTCGCCTCACACCGTGCTGCATGGACCTATGTGACACTTGCAGTGCACAGCGTGTGACTGTCATTATGACGCCTGACCTACATGTGACTGCTCTGGCTGCAAACTGTAAGCATTCTGAGCACTGAAACGCATTCACAAAAGCCCATGGAGAACGGGTTAACATCAACCTTTATTTGTCTGACTGACGACACTGATTCGGTGGTCAGGCTCGCTGACTTTGTTGATGTATGACACTGTATGTCAATTGCATAGATTGATTGTCATAATGTCAATCACTGGTGTGGTCCAGACTCGATTATTTACAGATAGCCGAGACATACCTGAGCGCGGCGTTGAAGGAGATATATTGAAGGAGACATTTTAAAGTACATATTTACACACCAAAAATGTATCATGTATAATTTCATAATGTTTATACTCAGGACCACGTATATTATATGCCTCCTTTTACGAACAGGGGGTAGGATAACTGTTGTAAATGTAGAAACCTTAAAATGAATATTTAGAAGAAAAAACCCCGAATATTTACTAGCCTTGTGAATGATTTACCGATAAATAGCATTGTGAAAGGTTTATGTGTGGTTGGATGTTAGTATGTGATACTATGTTCAGTATCGATTATTCAAGAACAGAGTCGAGTCATCTTTTTTCAGAAGAAGTATGTATACCCTCCATGACGAAGGGGTAGTTTCTACTGGATGTGATGTCACCGTATCCCAGTTGTGTAGATCGATGCTCATGATGTTGATCACTGGATTGTCTGGTCCACTCTCGATTATTTACAGACAGTCTCCATATAGCTGGAATTGCTGAGTGCGGCGTTAAATAACAAGCAAAACAGAAAACCTATAATTATTTCAGTCATAATGTGTCTCGGCTAAGGGTAGGCTATTGTATGACAAAAAGCTGTTCAGGTGAGGGACGCTGGAAGGCTGTATGCACGTTACAATACAGTTTACTCGGGGGTTTTATATAATAATGGGGGCGGTGGGGAAGCCTAGTGGTTAAAGAGTTGGCTCTTCACGCCAAAGACCCGGGTTCGATTCCGCACACGGGTACAATGTGAGAAGCATATATCTGGCGTCCCCTCCCATCCCGTGATATTGCTAGAATATTGCTAAAAGCGGCGTAAATCTAAACTCACTCACTCACGTCACGCACTCACTAATAACAGGATGTAAATTTGCTTATTTATTCGTTGTTAAATACATCATGTGTTTATTTCATTATTTGTTTTTTTTTTGTCTTTCTGTATTATATGGATGGCAATGCTATGAACATTCTGTTAACATGACTCGTGTGGGACATGTAATAAGCTACTTGACAGCCACTGAATGGTATATCATTAGAACTATTTAAACGGCAGCATTTACTTACCATCACAAGACAATACAATCAACACAATATTAAGGAAAAAGCAGCTTTCGACTCCATACTAATTTAACAAATGTTATATATGGGTATACACTTCCTAAGTACATAATTGTTGTACATCTTTTGTGTTGAGTCCCATCTGGGATTCGAACCCAAGCTAGGTAAATCAGAGTGAGTGAGTTAAAATTTTACGTCACCTCGGCAATATTAGAAAGTAGAAAACTAATTTTGACAATACAATGTAAAAATGGGCTAGTGATCGCCAACAACTGAAGGTAGATCACCATACTAGGGACCAAAGGGACTTACAATGCCTTTGCTACCTGCATGGACCCTAGCAGGATTTACACCATCCCATCAGCTGCTGGCGATTGTAGGAAAATTCAGCCACTATTAAAATGACAATAATACTACGAGTAAAAGGTTGGAGATTAAATTTTTCTTCGAATGTTTTGGGACTTACGTATCCTCTCAGGAGGACAAGGTAAATCAGAAGACCAATCGTCAGCGATCGAAGACACTTAGACATCGCGACTTCCACACAAACTTGTTTGACAACTGGTACTCTAGGTCACGTACTTTGTGCAGTATGTGTACTCTGTCTACTTTGTGTACCGCTCTGACAATTCAAACTGAGACGACTCTCACGGCCGAAAGCTGTGATTACATAATGCCATTTAGAAAGAGGTCAGACGTAACCTATGCAATGTTTGCAGTTACACTCTCTCAGTAAAGTTCAGATAATAGTAAATTTTGGGAGTTTGAGTCCCAACCGGAGAAACTTTCAAATGTCTTGTTTTCAATTAGATCAACATCTATTGAATTTAGACAAGTGGCACATGTTCCGCTGTTGATGTCTGATCGACGGGTGATTCTCCACTCGATCCATACACGTTTTGTGTTTTAGTCAATTCTGTCAAAACTATTTTGTCTGATGCTGATATGGACGAATATGTGGGCTGTCATTAAACTGTAATTTCACGTTTTCATCTTTGGCATTGTCTTGCGAAGTCATGGCGAACGCTAGTAATTACCAAACACAACACAGAAAAAGTGTTCGCCTGGAAGTCAAGTCTCTAAATGACCTTAAGTCGCTGATCATTAACTCTCCTTTCTTTCCCGAATAAGAGTAGGTTTTTGAACGTTTTGTGTCATTCATATTGCCTGTAGGATTTCTTACTTAAAGATAATATTTCAATATGTTTTGTAAATGATCTGAGCACACCTTAACCTTTTACTGTATACATCTCTTAAGCAAGAAACAATCGATAAACTTTACTAACTTAAATAGTCAAATGTGAAACTGGAATGATGGAAAGTAAATTGACAGGTAGGATAAAAAATATAAAAATCAATTATTGTAAACGAACATCTTGAAGATGTAAACAATACATATGGACTTCGACAGGTAGAAAGATCTGTGAAATGGTTGAATGATAGATATGAGTTGAAGTATTGTGTACGATTGTAAAATGAAAGTATAGGTGATTTATAGATGATATATGTCTATAGGTATATATATATTGAAGGATTATAAAGGACAATATAGAAGATTTATAACAATATATACGAACTTACTACACGATAGATATACATTGAAGGATTGGTGAAGGAAAACAAAGAAACAATTTAAACATATTTATGGACGTACTCGGAAAGAATAGGACGGTGTACAGGTAGAATGATATATTGCAGGACTGTAAAAGAAAGCATACAAGATTTATACCGAAAGATTGATAGATCTATAGACAGGATTGACAGAAACTATACAGGATTGACAAGATTGTAGACAGTTAATATGATGACGAGTAGAAGACACTTAAGAAGGGCACTGCTATAATTCAACGGATATCCAGGCCAATAGATATGTGGATTGTACAAAGGATATATCGAAAGGAAAGCTGCTGACAGATGGAAGTGTTAAGCGTACCTGTGCAATCCACAGTATGATACACATGAGAGAGTGTTACCTTTATCGTCGGTACAAATTATTATTTCCTTAGACATAACGATTATGTTGAATACAGTAAATAAAAACTTACCTGAACTCTGCCAAAATACTGCAAAAAGTATCACAACAACACAAGTGTCCATTGTTATTAGTAGTGGTGGGTGTTTATGTTTTATCGACAGACCTCTGGTCTCATGGTGAAGACGGAAGCATGACCTTGTGGCGACTGTAACATGTGTTGAAGTTTCCTCCTAATTAGCCTCTGTGAACGCCAAGTGCTTGACTTTGAGTCAACGCTGTATTTATAGAAATTACTTCAACTGGGAGTGCGAATGCACGTGAGGTATGACCTAAACTGTTTTGATTTGTTTGTTTGTTTATAATATGTGTTACTTTGCTTTGGAAATAAGACAGTAAAGAAAGCTACTTTGTCAAACTTGAACATCTTTCGCAAAGACATAATTCCTTCTCGTCTTAGAGGAATATCGTGACGTGTTTGCATGTTTGTGTTTTTGTTGTGTGTTTTTTAAATATTTTTATCTTGTGAAAGAAACAAACCCATTTAGTAACCTACTATGCCATATTTGAACATCTTTTACAGACATAATTCACTCTGCATGTGTTGAAGATATACTAGCGGAAAACGTAATTGTGAATATATCTTTATTATTTGTTAAAGTATTCCAAGCAAGCATCTCTTTTAGGCATTTAAACGCCAATGGAGTAAGGTTTGGTTGTGTATAGAGTCGTTCATCAAGGGGTATTGTAAGATTCTATTTCAAAGAGACAATCAGATGCAAAAAGTACGTTATTGAGGATAAAGTGAGTTAGTGAGTTACATCGGCAGTCGGCAGTCTTTCTGCCATATCGTGACTATGAAAGTTGTAAATTTTTAATGTATACATGAAATAAAAACAAATTAATATATACTTACATGTCTGCGAAGGACAGTAAAATAACTACCACAACTATCATAATGTCTTTCACAAATGTACACTTATACTTACACATATAGCCATGAACACTATTTCAAACTTAAACGGTACAATACAAAAACGGGCTAGATTGCCAACAACTGAAGGTAGATCACCCGTGCTGGATTTATACCATTCCTTCACCTGTCAGCAAGTTTAGACAATTTAGCCATAAATTAAAGTAACATATATTCTACGGTTGAAAATATTGGTATGTTTCAGTTTTACAATATTTGAACCCCCTGTGAGGACACAGCCACTCACAATCACAGCTGCTCAATTAAACTACCAATTTTAAAACATTTATCTATTAACAAACCATATATCAAAATTTACGTAACAATTCTATTTATTTTAAAATGCAAGTATTAAATGATAGTTGACGTTAACAAGATCCCCTACTGTTTTGACATTGAAGTACTTATCCCTTGTGATGGAAAATAAAATACAATCAATTACGACAAAGTATCTACAAAACCTTTTCCATAATTTTAAGAAAAACAGACAAAAGTAGAATTTATTTTGTAAATGCAATCGTAAAACCTCTATCTTCACGGGTCTACTTTTTCAGAAAGAAATATGATTCATGTCGAGTTGTAACCAACTGTATCATCTAGTCATCTCCGTTACGTTTGTCTGGTTCTGTACAATGTTATAAAAGGCACAACAAAATGTAAAACGTCAATGACAGAGATTAACCAGTCTCGAAACAGATTCCATTGAAACAGCTACCAGTGCCAAAACATTATGAATGGATAATGGATAATACAAGGCAACCACGAAGTATATACCCGTGTCTTAAATTTTCATAAAACTTTAGTGTTTGTTGTAAGATTAATCAATTCATAAACAATGTATAAACACAAATTTATTAAACAATTCGCTGTCTACACGATAAATGTGTATTATAAAAATATTGCATTTCTTTTGCATATATATGTACAAGTTTGAAACATTTAGTAATGCATTTCCTTTGATGAATGTCATATGCTGTGAATCTATAGAGATATATTATATACAGTACATATTGTTCAAGGCAATTTGACGGACTCGCTAATGATACTGGATGAAATATACGTATATATATTTGCGCTGTGTACATATGATAAGGTATGGCTTATGCATATCTTATTTGCATTGTGAACTGAATATTGACCACAATCGTCAAACCAACTTATTGTCAGCTCACATTGTGTCCTGCCACTGTTAAAAAATAACACGTCACAATAAAATTCTGGGAACTGATTTGGCCAGAAGCTCACCACGCTGTAGCAAGTTCCTGTCCTTTTTGTTATAAAATTCAATTCCTATTTTCATAGATATATACTGAGGATGAAAAAGTGAAAAATTCCGTCCCCGTGTTTCCGACATTGTGTTCGAGTTTTCGGTTTTACCATGAGAAAATACTTCAGTAACATGAATAAAGCATGTAGCACTGTTACCCCATTTCAGTATATTTTAACGACACGAATAATGTATTCAGGCCATATTCGTAGGAAATAAGACAGTGTCGTCTTGACTGTTGCTTAGTGCTGGCATCAAACTTCTTGGACACCTGTGGGAGTCAAGCTCAGACATTCCTATATTCGCAATTGGCCACATATTTCTGTTGATAAAGTCTATAATTCCCCATTAACTATGCCATGCCGTAGATGATACCAACAAGAACTTCCATCTGCGCATTTCTCACAATTAACGCGCCAGATTTGTTCCCTAATATCCAACTTGAAATGACATTTAAACGGTTTCGAGTGAGTGAGAGAATGAGAGTTTCCTCAATGTGCCAATATAGTGGGTACGACACAAATTGTCTACATTGTACCTGTGTTGGGAGTGGAACCCGGGCCTACAGCTTGACAAACGATCGCTTTGATATCTACTCAGCTACTCAACTAGCCCTTCAGTGGAAAATTGTGACATACAGTTGGAAAATCCCTTGATACCTATATGTAACTGACAATAAATTATCCTTTCCGTCATTTCCATCTTGCACGTGTTGTGTGTATGATCAAATAACACTTATCAGGAATATTTCAACAATACAGTGATGACCGAATTTTTCGTCAAAAAAATATAAGCGAGTTGATGACTCACGTCTCTGTTCGCCGTATATTTGGGCTGTTGGAAAATCACAAACAAGAATGTAAGCTTATACTAAAGAGAAACCCAATTGTGGTAAAGTAACGAAACTAAAACCTCATTAATTACACGTAAATGTCATATTTTGACTTGTCTTAATGCACACGCACTTGATAAAAAACGAACCATTCAAAATTAACAAAGACTACAGCCTGTGTAATGATGACATGAGTACATATCCTGTTATATCCTGTTCTAAAAAGAAACAATTACAGGTAGCGTCAGGCCAATCGTGGACCGTTCAATAAAATTAGCCTCTCAGAAAGCAGGGCGATTTTTCGGCACTAGTTTCAAAATGACGACTTCTTTTTCAGACAAAGTTTTGAGAAATATTTGATCAAAGTTCTCGACTCAAAATTCGAAAACGTCACAAAAATATTCTGAAATGACTCATAGGAAGCTGGAAATTCTGATAGTATTTCTCGTCTCGTTGGTTTCAAATGTGGGAAACATTCGATTCGTTCGGAATGCCCCTGTTAACCTTTTCGAAACTGCATGATTGAACAACAGATGCCATCACCTTCGGGATCTTGCAAGCGACGCTCTGAAAGGTCGGTCTGGCCGAACTAATGGGATGTCCTCAAATCATTGCAACGCTGTAGCGTTCACTAATATCAGATAAACGTATTTGAGTTTAGGCATTGTCATCTTACACATGAAGACACTAAAATATTACAAATATTCCTTCCATGCACTAACCAGACATATTCCTACCTTACACAACCATTTGTCCAAATTTTGTTTACTATCAAAATATCTTTACGCTTTCAACTGTTGTCTTAAACCCTGGGTTGTCGTAAAAATCCCCCGAAGGACTGTCGGAACTGCTATAAGGCTTTCCAGCATTTGTATACCCATCTGAGTCCCTTGGTTGGCTTACTCTGGGCGGTGACGTGTTTGGGCCGCCCTCCGAGGCTGCAAGGAGTGCCCTTTCTTTCCTTCCTATCTGCCTGCCTCCACTGCGGCTGCTTGGAGTTTTCAGAGGGCTGTTATTGCTGGAGTTGCTTCCCTTGTGACCTTGACCTGGCGATGGTCCTCCTTTGGACGTGTCGTCTCTTCCTCTGTCTCCGTCCATCTTGTCCCACGAACGTTCTTCTCCATCGGGAATGTTGCGTTCTTCCTCAACCTTTCTACTTCGGTAACGCCTGTATCTTGAAAGAAAACATGGTTACAGCATTAGGTCTTGAGGAGTGTTCAGAGACAATCTAAATCAAATCCTAACTCTGCAATTTGCGAAAATGAAGAGGGACAGCATACGTTTGATAACCACAAGGACTGCACAGTATTAACGGTATACCGGTATATCGCAATACGCTTGTTAAACGATACGTATTGCAATATTTTTCCTGAGCACCGGTACATTGGGTAAAGAACATATATGAAGTTTCTGTGATTATCTTTAGGGTTTAAATCAAAATCTACACGGACTACCATTCTCAAGAAATTTTTCCTTCATTATTCAATGACAAAACGGCATACTGTAATACTATAAAATGTATAAAAAAGGAAATAGAATCCCTGACTATGCAACGTAATTTTGAGATTGCTGTTATCAGAACCATAACATATATGTTTAGGGACTTTGAATGTCGAAAATAGGATTGACATGTAAAATTAGTGTCACTCACTGTCAAGTTCTCGGTATATCACAATACGTATCGCAATACGGGTACCAGAATCGCAATATACTGCAGTGCAAGTTCTTTGCCGATACACAGCCCTAATAACCACTCAAGAGCTGTATGCTTGTTTCGCCTTGACTGTAAAAAGCATGATGCGTAATTCATCGATTGTATGTGGACAAGACAATCCAGTGTCTTATAACAAAAACATCGATCTTCGCAACAGGTTAACGATGACTATGCGTAACAGTCTGCGAGCCTTACTGCAGCAATATCGAACCCCCCTGTGACCAGGTGTAAAAACCCTGGAGTCAACTTTGTGTGCAGACTCTTTCAGTGTTGTCACAACCCCTAGTGTACAGTACACAACCCTATGCACTTAACAAAACCCACGAATCCGTTGGTATGTGACCAGATGGTGGCCATATGAATACGTGCAAACACCTAGTTGCGGGTACAGCAACGTGCAGTAAACTTGGACAAAGTACTGTGACTATGTGTTCCAGTCCACCCAGCGGTGGTTGGGTACCTCGTAAGGATGGGAAAACCACACTAACTCGGTGCGCCTAGTGGCTGCAAGAGTTGTATGATCCCCAGGGAGTAGAGATTGATGAAAAGACGTGCCGTTGAGGTTGACATCCAGTGATCGAGGGACGAAACAAAGCGCCTTTTAGTAGCTGAGCTGGATATCGGCGCTATACAAATGTTAGTGTGTATGTATGTATGCATGTGTGTACAGCAATATCACGACTCGGAACACCAGAAATAGGCTTCGGACATTGTACCCATGTGGGGAATCGAACCCAGGTGCGAACGCTTTATCCACAAGGCTACCCCACCGCCCTGTTACATATCCTCAACAAAACTGCAATTTTACAGTACATAGCTCTTGCATATATGAAATATGGTCATTTGAGTATAGCATGTTCATTATTTGTATGGTATATATAGGGGCGGTGGGGTAGCCTAGTGGTTAAAGCGTTGGCTCGTCACGCCGAAGACCCGGGTTCGAATCCCCACATGGGTACAATGTGTGAAGCCCATATCTGGTGTCCCACGCCGTGATGTTGCTGGAATATTGCTAAAAGCGGCGTAAAACTCAGTCAGTCAGTCAGTATGGTCTACATAGAAACTTCAGTAAAAATATATAGCGTACACAATATCATTAATTTTATATTATCAGCTATGCCTTAATGTAAGGTAATGCATACTTTTAAAGTAATCTAAATTCGTTCAACGCATATATCAACCTGTTTTAGTAATCAAAGGTCATGCCTTTGGTGTCATGAGTAATAACCTTTGTGAATGCCCTTCACCTCTGTTAGTAAACCGCGGCTCGCCAGAGTGAACAATCTACATCAGATGACAATAATTGTACCATCGTTTAACCCACTATAAAGCGAAACAATTTCCATGGGAACAGTGGGATTCATTTGAAGACGAGACCCATTATGCAATTATGTTTAATTTAGAATATTGAATATTAAGAGAAACAATTACCCCTGATGACAAAAATTGCAGATCATGATATCACAATTATTCAATCATCATTATCAAGAACATGTTAGGAGGCAGGTAATTTACTGTGTAGCGATTTGCCTCCCGATGGAGTTTGTTTGTTGTTTAACGCCGTACTCGGCAATATTCCAGCTATATGGCGGCGGTCTGTAAATAATCAACATTATGAGCATCATTCTACGCAGTGTCAATCAAGTCAGCGAGTCTGACCACCCGTCAGTCGCCTCTTACGACAAGCTTGGGTTGCTGAAGACCAATTCTAACCGGATCTTAACAGTATGGTCATGGATTTGTCAGCATCTCAGTGGGTTTCATTAAAAGGATAGCCTGTCTAAGACCTACATCAGTTCAAGCTTTAACCCACATCCAGCTCTCAAGCAGCGATTTTCGCAAATTTACTGTTCAAATTCGTGGTAAACCTGACTCGCGCAACTGGTACTCATTTACATGGTATGCCCATTTGTTACAAAGTTGTCTTTGTGGGGTATGGAATTTCACATTCGGCATTACGTAGTAATGAGACATAGTAGCCTGACCTTCTCCTGCGGTAGCACAGGACGGCGATGACGATGATGAGGAGGATTAACAGCAGGATGCCAGTGGCAATGCCCCCATATGTTGCAGCGGAGTTAGAATCAGAGGCTGCAAGACAAGATAGACAAGACACAAAGATTAAATGAAAATTTACTGTCTTACAAAACAATGTATACATTTGAAACTTGATTTGCGCAACTAATTACAAACTCTATGAAAAAAGTTACTAAAAAAATGTTCCAGACAATATTCAGGCTGTCGAAACGACTTTGTTTGTCACAAATGTTTGTTGCTTGTTCTATTCTAGATAAATGACGTTGATCTAAACATAATCGAGACTGGACCAGATAGTCCAGTGACTGACATCATGACCAACGGTCTGCCCATTGGGAATCGATGACATGCATGAAACCAGTCAGCCAGTTTGACCAGGCTTGTCATGCTTGGTCATGCCTTGCCATGCATGGTTGATGCATGCCAACGTTTCGTAAAGATCGATGCCCATGATGTCAAGCATTGTTGTAAAGTGTTGTTTAGAAATAATGACAGTTTCAAGTAATTAAAAAGACATCTGTTTTCGCAGCTCCAGCTGAAAAATTGATAGAATCCCTGCCCCCGACCATCATCACAAAACCAAAACACACACACACACACACACACACACACACACACACACACACACACACACACACACACACACACACACACACACACACACACACACACACACACACACACACACACACACACACACACACACACACACACACACACACACCAATATCTAATGTCCGGTTCCATGGATTCCATGCAGTAAAACTTGGAAGAAAAACTAAAAGAGAAACGCAACGATGTCTGGGTTATAGAACGACAGACTAAAATGTGTCCAATTGCAATGGTTCTATTTCCTCACAGGCATAGTATAATACATTGTTGCCTTACTCATTAATTGCTGTGATAAGATATCTTCAAGACAGTCAACAAACAGTACAATTAAAAGACAGCGAGACACAAAACGGCTAATGAGATACTTCTACATACATTTCACCACAGTGGCACCTCCATCTGTTTTCAGCACTGGGTTTGGTTTAGCTTCTGACGTCACGGATTGGGTTGTTGGTGACGTATCGTCGCTCGTGCTCCTCGGTTCGGAGGTTGAATCCTGCTCTGGTTTCGTTTCTGGTAACGGATCAGACGTCTGTGACGTTGCTGGAGAAGGCGTGCTTGTTGTTGTGCTGGCCACTGATGAAAATATTTGGATAAATGAGATGATGGAAAACCTAAAAGGATTCACAATGGAACACGGAGACCGTGATTGGTTAATCAACTCACATGTTATGCACTTGTTTATGCTATGTTAATGATGTGTAGCAACAGACTACGGCTATAACGAACTAAATTTAGTTTTCCCGTTATTTCGTGATAACAGTAGTTGCTGTATATGATATTTATTGGTAAACAACACACGATGGTAATGATCATACAACAATCATGATATCATCTTTTCAGAAACTGTTACTCGTTTAACGTGTATTTTTTCCCAATGGAGCAACTTTAGTCACTGCACAGGAACACAATGTTTGAGTGAATCTCCACTTCTATCATACTGTGTCAAATTAGGTTTGGTAGCAGCATAACTCACAAAACACACACAAGAAAGAAGAAATCCAGAATACTATAAGGACCACATATTTGGGACCAATCGTGAGTGAGTGAGTTTAGATTTTAAGTCACATCGGCAGTATTTCAACCATATCGGGATTATATCAAGTTATATACTGATAATAATTATAGGTAAAAACCTGTCAACAAAGGATAGTAAAACAACTAGACTATCAAAGATATAAATTTTAAAACTAGTAATTAAAGTTAAAACATTGTAACCATACACGACAAGACAATATAAAAGTAGGCTATAGATCGCCAACAACTGAAGGTAGATCCCCATACTAGGGACCATGGGGACTTACAGTACATTTGCTTCCTGCATGGACCCGGGACCAATCGTGACCTTTACCACTTTATTCAGAGATGGTGTTGTCTGACGATATCAACTGAGATGAGAAACATTCACTGTCATCAGTTCTACCCTAACCTCACCTGTTGCTGACGTGACACCCAATATCGAGGTTGGCGTCGTTGACTGTGTAGACTGAGTGGTAGAGGACGCTGATGTTGTTTGCGTCGATGTCAAGGTAGATGCTCCAGTTGTTGTTGACGTAGAAACCGGAACTTTCCGTGTCTCTCGTATTTTGCCACAATCAACGGTAATGTTCCCTCCACCTGAAACGCCAGTAAACGTTTACATTTTAGTTTCTCGTGACATAAATATACTAATATTTCAGTGTAGAAATATGTTACCTATATATTCAGCTGCGCTAAGTTGAATTTGCAAACCGAACTCTTTCCTGTCAACGTAGACACATTGACCATGTACTGAGTGAAGCGGCATTAAATGAGAAAGTGTTTGTTGTCGACCAGATTTAAGGCAACACCGGTAATAAATAGAGAATCTCACCCAAGTGTCTTTTGATATCAAATATATCACCACGAGTTGATAAAGTTACAATTTGTTTACTTTTATCAACGAGTGGTTGATATATTTGATATCAGAAGACACAAGGGTGAGATTCTATACTACCCATCAAAAGTTTAGACTCACTAGTGTAAATGTAGCCACTTACTTGTCCACTGTTCTAAACTAGCTTTTTGCAAAATATTCCATACTGTTTAAAGGTACTGTTTAGTTATGAACTGGTGTATTGTAAAACATATTCGTAACATTGAAAAGATTATTGTCATGAGTTCAGTAAATGATTAAAATCTGTGAAAATTGGCGAATTCTTAACAAAACTTTACACCAAAACGCATCTGTTCACACGCACGACATTTGCTCATGCCTTTCGCAATTTGAAGCATCATCCTTGTGCAATTCATCTGCATAAGGTTTTCAGTTGGTTCCCCCAAGTTGGTGGAGAAATTCATCTTCGATGTAACCACATACATATACATAACATATAGTGAGTGCTTTAAGTGAGTCTAAACTTTTGATGGGTAGTATATTTATCATCAAAAATCGCTCTTCGTTAGTTTTCATTAAAAAAAGTACATCTCTGACCACCGTTCTGCCATTAGACTTGCAGTGCAGCGATGTCATAGCATTGTGACGTCATCATGCTCATGACGTCATAGCATTGTCAGGGTATTGTACAAAATCTACTGTCAAACGATATCTCCTAGGAGATATCGTTTGATCTCACACAAGCGATATGTCCTGTGGAACACAGTTTTGGATGATAACCTTAAAAAAATTGTGTGTAAGAATTTTGTCGACACACCATTATTACTTGCTCGGCAGGTATTAAAAGAGTATAGCACAGCAACTTGGACATAAAACATTGGTGTTGCTACTTGACAGAAACGTAAACAGTGGAGTGTTTTGTAGAAAAGCATATCGAGCACTCTGCTCTGTCCATAACTTGAAACATACTCTCAAAGTTGCAACTCTATTACCACATATACTTTTGTGTTTATAGGAATCCGGTTTTCCATTTTATTAACTATAATTATACATACATTGTATTGGTAAATGCCTCCAGACAATGGCTGAATAAAAATCTTTTTACATTATCTTCTTTAATGTTGCGGGGATCCAATCAGTTTTATCGATCACAAGTTGTTATACTGATTTGAAACCTATTATTGACCAAACACGCCGTCGAGGCACGAAGGTACATGAAATGAAAGAATGGTTTATTCTCATGAAGATCAGAATAGTGACATAGAGAAAAGTACAAATGTAGAGGTTTGTTGATGGGAGCATATACGTAGACCAGTTTTCACATACTTGCTTATTCTTAACAGTAGTGCTTTATGCATACAATACATTAGGGATATACATTTTTCTAATGATGAATAATTACAATATTTTTTGGGTAGGAATGGATTTCTTACATTTCTTAAATATGGACAATATAACATGAAGTGAAGTTCATTTCCTATTGTATTTTTACACAATGTGCATAATGTTTCTTCTTTGATAATATTAACCATCTACCTGGGAGTTAATGGTTACAAGTTCTAATAGGTAAGCCAAATGCGTACCTGTAATGGGATGTGTAATAAATAGGTTTCAACGTATAGAGATGACTTAAACATATTATAACAGTGGCCTTCAGAAAATTTGATTTACATTCGTTCCAGTGTTGATAAACTGATTACATGATATAGACTTAATATTATTATAATATTCAGCCAAATCTTACTTGTAAGAGATATCCAGAACATTCCAAAATTGTTTTAACTACATTGATAAGAGGTGAATATATGTTTGGTTCATTCGTTTTCATTGTATACATGATTTTATATAAAATACTAGACAATGTGTCCGTAACCATGTAACAAAGCCGATTACGTCATACCGTAGTTGTCCAAATGATTACAGATTAAATGCAAAATATATATTTCATTAATAGTATGGGTAATATGAATTAGGATCATTTAGTGATTCAAGTCAGAAAAAGGCAAACAGAACGCTAGTATCAAACTCAAAAAAAGGGAAAGGAAATAATGGATCCTAGTTCCTTTTCAGGAAGTACAGTGTGTGTTTATATTTTTGTTGACATTCATTATGCTTGTATACACAAGACATTTATATAACTGTATGATTGCCTGTTGCTTTTACCAATATTCCTGTGAAATCAAGGCACGGGAAATAAGACCCAACTCGAGCCATAGCGAATGGCAATAGACTTGCAACCAGTACATACTATATAATTTACCATTTCATCAGATCTTACACTACTTCAAACGTTAGATATTGAATTTATAAATACGGGGACGAAATCTGATGTTCTGCTATACTACAACTGTAAATAATGTAACTACCTCTACTCAGTGGTTTTAATGTCAGGTGTTCGAGAACAGGTGTCCAAACATGATCAAAGACATGTCAGGTGTTCTATTGAAGAAAATATGTTTTAAGTCAAATTAGGGTGTAACATCAAATTTGAGCGTCCTCCAAATGTCTGTCATAGTAGGGTTTTTTGGTTGTCTTTTTCGTGTTTTTATGTGGGCACTTAAAACCAGGATTCTCATATGATTTAGGGCCTATTCAACCTGAAATCGTTATTGTAACCGTTACTTACATTACGCGAAATATTCTGAAGCAAACAGTCCGTCAGAAACGGTGCTTATTTTATAGCTATTTCCACTCGGTACATTTGGAATCATACCCACACTCAGTGACCCATGACACAAAACAACCCTTCGTGCTTACCTTCCAACAGGACCCAAGCAGCCTGGGGTGGGGTCCCTCCTACGTCGACGATATTAAGAGCAAGAGGTACAGCACCGTCATACAGCGTTGACAAGAATCTCAGGTCTGTCCTCTCACAAGAAAATAAAGTCACATCGCCATCTTTTTCTATTTCCAATCCTGAACAAGGTCCTCCATTCACGGACACCATCGAAACGTCCAGCGCCCTGACCTTGACATTGGCTCCTTCCGGTCCAGTGACGTCACATCCGTAAACCTTCGCTGTTCCTAGTTTTGTTTTGGTGGCAGGGGTCCGATAGAGTAAGTACATTATGTTGTTGGTCATCATTGTCTCGACATCATAACCGATGATAAGTTTATCTGGGTGAATAACGAAAATATGTCGTTAAGACATTCGGCATTCAAAGTCTTTCCCTTGTGAAATAAAGCGTTCAACAATTGATGGTATTTATACATTAACAGTAGTACGAACTATTGTGAAAACTGTTCTCAATACAACTGTAAAATGAAACATATGTTCCTTGAATAGGTTCAGCAAAGAAACGATGTCATGATTTTGATACGCGTTCCACAAAATCGACAGAAACTTTCAGGACGCTCTGCATCAAAAGCAGTGTATATGAAAATACGGTTTTCCGTGTTTTGTGTCTTTTCTTTATTGCTTCAAAGCATACAAGCGAAAGTAAGGTCGAAATATTACAACCCATTCTGTTTTATATTTGGTATTTTCTTTAGACAAAGTAATTCGAATTGAATTACAAAATCAGAAAATTGACAAAGGGATATGCTGGATTCTACTCTTATTCCTCCAGGAAGTGAGTGAGACAGTTTTACGGTGGGAGACAGCAGAAATTGGCTTTACACATTGTACCCACGTGGGAAATCGAAACCAGGGTCTTCGGCATGATTAGCGCTTTAACCAGAAGCCTTGTCGTCCCGCTCAGGAGGTGGAGTGTTTGTTATCATAGTAAACAGTTATGGTCCAAACGTCGTCCAAAGTAATAACACAAAGGGATCCAAACCACTAAAGCTCTGGGCTTTTAGTTGCTCCTGGAGCTGGTCCCACGGTTGTCTTAGGAGACGGACTAACGGGATCGTGTGATCAGCATCGCCAGTTTAATTGACACATGTCATCGTATCACAACTACGTACACGAGTGCTCGCTATACTATCTGGTCCAGATTTTGTCATTTTACAGATCGACTTCATGAAGGTGGAATATGCAGAGGATACTAAACGGCCTTCCGTGTAATGGCATTTTTATTAAACGAGTTAATGATTTGGTATCAAACGAGCGATACTAAATCTTTCACGAGTTCAATAAAAAGGTTATTTCACGGAAGCGAGTTTAGTATTTTGTTTATAACTCTCAAACATAATTTGATAAAAACTGACTACAGTGTGATGACTCTCAGCTTTCCTCGTGTCAAGCAAGGTTTAATGCCATTGTGACAGAAGTATTAGCATTGTGACGTCATAACTGTACCCATTATGACGTCATACGTCTAGCGGTATTACACTAGTGTTATATTGCCGTAAAAATATTGCATTGCATTATAGCTAAAATGGATGGAATTATCATTAAAACGCCCGCATGTTATCAGAAATGAGAGGGCCACTGTAACTTGATAATGCTCCAAATTGTTTGACTAAGGGCCATTAACATTGCGCGTTGTTAGGTGACGTCAAAAGGAGCTCAGCTCGTTTGGGTTCAATATTGACGATATTTCTGACTCACATTCGCCACAAGTACCTGTGCCATTATGCACTTTCTTGTCGGTGCCAACCTTAACAATTGTACCATAAATTACACCATGCAGCAATGAAAACATCGACTGGAACTCTAACGTTGTTGAGCATCGAAAAAAATGGCGGCTGGTAGTATGGACAAAGGTCAAGGTCGAACGCCGTCACTCTCAATAGTGACGTCATTTGTTTTGTTCTATGACGTTTCCATAAGTTTGTCAGTGACTTCCGTCGTCTGTTGTTAGCATTACATGTTTCAAAACCGATACCGTTGTTTGTTTTTTTTTTATTAAAATTCTATCCATTTTAGCTATAAAATCGTCGGGCAGTTCAGGAAAGACCTCGGGCTTCTGCAAATGATAATGCCCTGAAAAATAACGTTACCCTTATAGTATCTTACATGGACGTGTAATAATGCTGAGTACGGCGTCAAACAATAAAGTCACAACAAACCAACTTAATATTTTACCTTTTGCACAACGATGAGACACTACAGAGAATGTTGACACAGGCAGTTTCAGTTTGCCACAATTCTGGTTCGTTTGTGGCGTCATATGGTCACAAGTGCGGGACCCCAAACAGGAACGAAGAAGCCTGTCTGCATCAATCCCTGAGTAAGGATTATAACACTGGCGTCCGGTGGGCCTACAGCATGCATTGATATAGCGGTCACTGCAGGCGGACAGCTTGCCTCTGCTGCAGGTAGTTGTTCTTGACTGATGAGCGTAGCGGGCATTGGTCACTATCACCGTATGACCTTCTGGACAGGAGATGTAATGTTGACCACATCTATTGACATCGCTGTAACAGGCGCTTGTCTCTGCGTCCTTGCCATGAGAGACTGTAACCAAAACTTTACAGGTTTCAAACGGAAACATCTCTGAAGAGGTTTTTGTATTGTTATGTGAGAAGGATTTGTATATCCAGTGAAACACCGTTGTGTTTTTTTATATAAAGTAAATGTTTGGTCCCTTGGTTTCCTAATCTCAGACACAACGTAGTATCCCTTCAGAACAGTGTTTGACTCAAGTATATTTCATATGACACTATAATTCAAGATACAGTTCCATCCTGTTTGGCAAAAGCAACAGCATATCTATCACATGTATGTTGCTGTCGAGGTTAATCACAGAGGAAGAACGATTGCAAGATGGTTAAAAACAATTGATGAGTAAGTGAGCTAGTGAGTGATGAGCTTCGTACATGTTACCTATGTTGGGAAACGAACCCAGGGCTTCAGCTTGACGAACGAACGCTTTATCCATTAGATTACCACATTGCTCTGTTAACTTGGTGAGCCACCAAGGAAAAGAATCAACCAAAATCTGACATTCTGACTCACGAGTGGTAGGTTGCTTTGCACAGCGAATAGAAACTCCCCTAACGATTACTTCCCTATGTACACCAGATTAGTATGTAAGAGTTTAAACTCTTCATATAGCAGACCTCCTGCCATGTGGATTCTGACATTGTTTAGAACAAAACTCCGCACAGGAAATAGCGACTCCATTAACCGATGGTGTCCCAATCCAGGGCATAGTGTAAGTTAGAGCGTGAATGCTGTTTGACGAACCAGAAAGCAATTTTGCAGCTATATGACCGTTAATTAAATTCAGCGTAGAATGTTCACGTCGTCGAGGAACGGTAGCAAGTAATCAAACAAATTAACAGCCTGGCCACGCGATCCTCTTGTTATTGGCCCTTAACTGAAGATCATTTCTGAATTTTTACAGTTATTTCTAGAATCTACCAATGCTAGCCCAGCTTGGAAGGATCAAAATGCATTAAAGTTAATCATTATGACCGTTTAATTTCAAAACATCAGAAGATCAGAACATAACCAGTCTCGATCTCATAAAATTGATTCCGTTGAACCCAAAAGGCAAAATAAACGTATACATTTTATGAATGAATCGCGGAATATCGCTTAAAGGGTAAGCTTGACCTGTAAGGTCACACACACACACTAACACACACACACACACTAACAAACACACACACACATTAACGTCTTAATTTATTGTTATCATGCTTGAATATAATCACTGGTGGCAAAGACAGAGAGAAAATAGCACAGTAACAGGCTATCTGAACATATACTTACTATGGGAAAGAACCGCAAGGCTCAAACACAGGTAGCCACACCAGATCATGCCTTTCAAGGTATCAAATTCCATTTTTCTAAACCAGGAACAAGTGCAAGTAATCCGATGTTCTATTTCCAGGTCACAAGCAGCTTAGTGGAGCACATCAGGGGCGTATATCAGGGCAACTGCAGTGTATGTATCCCGCACCCAGCTGATGACCTGAATAGTGACAGTGTTAGTACCTCGAAAAGCATTTCACGACTGAACAGCCATCACTCTCATCCCGTCAACTTTTGACCTATAAATTACAGATGACTAAGGGGAACCTCAGCCTAAATAGACTTAAATTGTTTGAAATGTATCTGTTCCGTATGTGAACACCCAATGCACCGTCTAATATAGTACAGTCGAGGCCATCATTCCAATTATCTGTTTGAGTGGTGGACGCTACACACGGTATGTGCATGAAAGTCAGTTCTCTGAAATAGTTGTTCTCAAATCGTGCTGACGGTAGAGAGCATTTACTTTGCAGTTAAATTGAGCACAGTATCCGCAGGCCCGTCACTAGTTTTGGGTTGTTTAGGGGTAGTGTGTTTGTTTGTTGTTTAACGCCACACGAAGCTCTACTCCAGCTATTTGATGTTTGGACTTCGCAATCCAGTGATTAACACCGTGGGCATCCATCTAAGCGAATTACATACGATGGCATGTGCCTGAACATGATTTGTGTTTGTAGTTTTATACAAATCATTTACATCACTGCTGATATGGAACACGAAGCTTGTTCATCGTTGCTGACAACACAAACAAATCCTGTTCAATATTGATGACAAAGCATAGAAATCATGTTGACCATTGCTGACAATGCATACAGATCATGTTCACCATTGATGACAACGCATACAGATCATGTTGACCATTGCTGACAACGCATACAAATCACGTTCACCATTGATGACAACGCATACAGATCATGTTCAACATTGCTGACAACGCATACAAATCATGTTCACCATTGCTGACAATGCATACAGATCATGTTCACCATTGCTGACAATGCATACAGATCATGTTCACCACTGCTGACAACGCATACAGATCATGTTCACCACTGCTGACAACGCATACAGATCATGTTCATCACTGCTGATATTGCATAAAATCATAGAATCACTTGTGACATCGTATACAAAACATGTTCAATAATGCCGTCTTCGCAAACGAAATATGTTCATCACTGCTGACCTCACACACAAATCAATTTCATCATTGCTGACAACGCATACAAAAACATGTTCACCACTGCTGGAATTCAAATACAAATAATTTTCATCGTGTACATATCATGTTCATGTTTATGGCTTGATGAACTGATGAACAAGGACAACCCGGATTAAACATATCCTTAACATAATTTAATATTATATATTCAATATTTTACATTCAATATTCAAAATGTAATATCTATGTCTGGGGAGGGGTTCATTTAAAACTGTGACGTGGAATCATATGATCATTTAACCAGAAATATAAACCGAAAGAAGATCGGACAAGTACATGCAGCCGAACACATACGTTCATTCTCGCGCATAGATCTTGCTAATTAATTTTACCTCACGAGCATCAACTAGGATTGTAAGATAACTGTCTGGTTGCAGTACACATATGAGGCATATATTCGTTTTTAAATCTTTGTTCGAAATCAAAGCAGCTAACGAAAGGATCGTTGTACCATTTCAACTCACGGCAGCAGTCCCATTCTTGAGACTAAAATCTCAATGGGGATACGAGGGATAGGTATCTCATACCATCACTACTGAATCATTAAATTGTGCTTCTTGAATTCTTTAGTTACAGATCATCAATTCTTGGTTTGCAGATCTGCTGTCCTATTACTAGTGGTTGATGAATAGCCAATTCCCATGAAGTGAGACACAGCATGGGAAAATGTTGGCTTAGCTTTTCGCATCATACTGCTGGTAATGAATTGAAATCTTCAGTTACTGAACGACTCTCATATAAGTTCTCAAACAGCCGACTCACTAAGCTACGGAAGCGAAGTAGGGACACGGTGAAAATATGTTTAGTTTCATTATCTCCTACGTAGGAGATACTATGTTCTATATAGGACATAGTATGTACTACGTAGGACTTAGTATCTCCTACGTAGGACATGCTATCTGCTACGTAGGACATGCTATCTCCTACGTAGGTCATAGTATTTCCTATGTAGGACTTAGAACTTAGTATCTCCTACGTAGGACTTAGTACTTAGTATCTCCTCCGTAGGATTTATTAAGTCCTACGTAGGAGATATTATGTTCTACGTAGGAGATACTAAGTCCTACGTAGGAGATAGTGACAGATAGTGAGACCAAAAACAATTTTCACCGTGGCCCTACTACGCTTCCGTACTAAGCCAAACAGGAATTTGAAGTTAAAATCTTACTAGCAAGCATATGGCCCTTAACGCGGTGACAAAAACCTTTCTCTATACATAACTGAGAATGTACATAAACGATTCCGAGGTGTTTGTGACTTGTGACAGGTGTCATAAACACATGCAAAAGCAGGTCAAGTGTTCACTTACAAAACCTTTTTGGTCACTGATGCATCAAATCTGAAAAGGTCGAAAATGTCTTTAAAATCGTTTTAAGAATTTGGCTTTGATTGTTGTAAGACTGTTCAAAGTATCGAACTCGTGAACAATGCACAGAACAATATGCGTGCTGCAGAATGTAAACAAAGAAAACTGCAAAGAAAACAGAGAAGTTACTGCGCCAGATTTATTGATGTGAATAGGCCATCAAGTTTACATTGATCTGCTATTTCGTCATATCATCAGTAAAATCCACAAGCGCTGTTACAGTTCCTGTAGCTCAGCGTGACGTCCCTGAAAGAGTAAATCCCGATATAGTAGTTGAACACGATACTCATGGTTGTATTTCAATAGTGTGTTTGATATGGTGATCAATTGACCTCAGATGTGTATGATTTTATAGCGAGTTCCTGGAAACGTTGTTCTGATGCACATCCAAAATGGGCTTTGACATGCACCCTCATAAAAATCAAACAATGTGATTTGAGCAAACATTTTAACTACTGGGCAAACACCCTCGCCCCTTGCAGAATTTGATAGACTGTGTCCAGTTCTATTGCTCAAAGAACAGAACGGACGTCGCCACGTCGAACAAACATATTACCTCTGATTATGAACGGATTCTTAACTCCCAAAAATGATTATAACTCTTCTTTGGGGATTCCCATGGGAACATAGTGGAAGCAGCAATCCGCCTTACAGCGTGTAACTCCTTATGGGAATCAGATGGCAAAAATGACAGGGATGTATGACCTGTGGGCAGTAGGTCGATCTCGACTCCTTCTATTGCTGCGTGTTTCCTGCTAGCATTCAATATCCATACTTTGTTGGACTGTTTTGAAACCCGTGTCATTCTACCAAGACAGAACTCGTTGAACTCAAAAGGAATAACCTACTACTTGTGAGATATATAATCGGATAGAAATTTATGCTAGAATCCGCAAAATTCCCGAAAGAGACAACCATGAGTTTGATTCATGAACTAATATGATACTGGGTTGAAATTTGGCCTCTCTCATATATACTGGACAAAATAAGTTAGGGATATTGGTATTTTTATTGCTGATATTTTATCAGTGTGACAATGAATAAATAGATCATTGTTCATAATATCAAAATTTACATATATCCCTAACTATTTTTGCCCAGTATAATTACTGATAAATAATAATAATAATAATAGGCCATTTATATAGCGCCTTTCCACGTCACAGAGATATGCTCAAAGCGCTTCCTGAGCTCAAGTTAAAACTATATACAGTTGGCAGGTACGGATGATTGGAAGTCACTTGTAGCGAAGAAATAGATGAGTCTTTAGTCGTGTTTTGAATGTACTTAGGGAAGGAGATGATTTTAACTCGATAGGGAGAGAGTTCCACAGAGAAGCTGCTGCATATGAAAAGGTCCTTGAGCCAAATGATTTGAGATTGTAGCTCGGGACAGCAAGTAACAGTTGTTGTGATGAGCGCAGGGTTCTTTCTGGAGAGTAATGTGTCAGAAGATCTTGAAGGTAGGAAGGTCCTGAGTTGTAGAAAGACTGGTAGGTGAGGCAGAGAATCTTGAAATCAATCCTTTCACGAATACGGAGCCAGTGTAGAGAGTTTAGGATGGGAGAGATGTGACAGCGAGGACTGGTGAGAGTGATGATGCGTGCAGCTTTGTTCTGGATTTTCTGAAGACGATGGAGTTGAGAGGAAGAGATGCCAAACAGTAAACTGTTGCAGTAGTCCAGGCGGGATAAAATCAGTGTCCGCACAAGGGTGGCAGTGGCTTCTTTTGTTAGGACTTTGCGGATGCTGCCGATGTTCTTCAGATGGTAGTGGCAGGTCTTTCCTAGATGATTTATTTGCTTGTCCATGCTGAGGTTTGAGTCCAAAAGAACGCCAAGGTTTTTCACAAGAGGAGAAAAAGGAATCGAAGATTGCCCAATGGAGATATCTTTGATGATAAGGTTTCGTTGTCTTGAGATTGTGGAGATGACCATTGTTTCTGTTTTATAGTCGTTAAGTTTCAGCTTGTTAGCAGACATCCAGGATCTTGTGCTCGAGAGGCATGCTTCAAGGTTGGACTTGCACTCTAAACAGTTTATCTCGACAAGAAGCCTAGTTTGACCAATTGTTAGTATTCCTTGGCAAAAAGGCCAAAGAACTTTGTTGTAAAATATCTTACTGGCAAAGCATCCTGTCCCTGACGCAGCTGTCACACACGACAGAGCCGTTGGAGATGCAGAAGGGGCCTTGTTCATAGCTGAAGCAGCCTTTGAAGCAGGCGAAGCCGCTCATAGGAGCCCCTGATACCTGGTAGGCGGCTGGGAGATAAAAACAACAGAGCTTGACAACTGCATCGCCGCTAAAATATTTTTTCTCGTTGCTTCGAGTATTATTGGGACGTTATTTCGATATTTTCTTATTAGTTCAAGTTTCTCTCTAAAGCTCAAAAATTCATGTATTTTCTCAAGTTTCTTTCAAAATGTTGACAATTTACAGTATTTACTTTTTCCTTCGAATATTTTCTCGTTACTTTGAGTCCTCCTGAGAGGGTACGTAAGTCCCAACACATTTAGAGTAAATTTAGGCTTGCCACGTTTTTAATCGTAGAATATGTGTGCTTTTAATTTATGTCTAGATTTCTCTTCTGTCGCCAATGGCTGAAGGGATGGTGTAAATCCAACTAGGGTCCATGCAGGTAGCAAAAGTAATGTAAGACCCCATGGTCCCTGGTATTGTGATCTACCTTCAGTTATTGGCGATTTATAGCCCATTTTTATACTGTATTGTTTTTCCCCTATAGTTAAAACGTTTTAAATTTAATTACTAGTTTTACATACATATCTGTGATATTCTAGTTGTTTTTCTGTCCTTCGTCGGCAGTTTTTTTATAATATACATATATTATAATTTCATTTCAATATCAGATGTTCTCG